CCCAATTCATTTGACGTTCCTAAAAAATCCGGAAAATGCAAAATTGAGAAAAATGAAAAAAAAGTATAAAATTGTGGGTTTTTTTTAATTAGAGGGCTGCATGAACGATATAGGATGCATACACCATGTACATATATCATTCATGAATTAAAAAAACAATTAGAAACTAAGACAGAAAAGATTGAAAAAAAAAAATTAACACACGAACCTAATAAAAAAAATACATGCATAAAAAAATTCTGAAAAATTTTCCTTTGAGATATTTGTTTAAAAACCATCCATCATTAAGTAGAGAATGTCAATATAAATAAGCATGCAAAGTTTCAATTATGTAGTTCCAAAACTGTTCCTCCTGATTCATCAATTGACGTCAGAAAAAAAAATTAAAATGCTATATCGATAAAAGCTGAAAAAGACACTGACAAATGCTTATTAAAAAAATTAAAGGTTACTTGAACAACATTGGATGCATACATCATGAATCATTCCACTCGTTAATTTTAAAAAAACAATTTAAGTACATAGATATAATTGATAGAATATAAATGAATGCATTTTCCCAACAACCCACTAGCCTCGACCCTAATAAAAATAATAAGATCATAAAAACTTCGGAATTTTGTTTATGAGACATGTAATAAAAAAAAACATCAATCATTATGTGGAGAATATAATAGAAAAAACCTTGCAAATTTTGAAGCATGTGGTAATAATACTTTTCCTCATAATACATTTGACGTCAGAGATAAATGGAAAATCCCAAGTGGACCACTTTAAAAAGAGAAAAAAATTCAACTAAGCAATATTAGAAATATAGGAGTCAAATAAAATGAAATTTGAAGCATATCATTGTGAAATTATCATAAAAGATAAGAATTTCTAGATATTTTTACAAATGTTAAACAATATGGTAGAACATGTTAATGTTTTTTAATAAGAAATCAATAGACTCAGTTTAGGAAACAAAAATCTGCCCAAGAAATATAATAAAAATGGTTATTTACATAATTTTGTAAAATAATTTTCAGCACATTAAAAACATTTACATATTTATAAAAGTAGCTGAAATCTTTCGGAACCAATCATTGCGAATTACAGTGAAAATAAATTTACAAGAACAAGTTATCTCAGCAAGGCCTTTTCAAACCCAGTTGTTGGGTTCAGCTGTCTCTGTCAATACAATGCAATACAAATTTGTCTTTATTCATTCTGCGTAAAAGTCAAAATTGGTATAAAATGTTTAATTTTTTGCAATAAAAGTCACAACAAATTTTTTTAAAATAAACTTTAGTGGATTTTTGTCTTTCTGTTTGTGTATGGTTTGTATGTACTAGTCTATATTTTTTTCAATGGCTCTATTTATTTAGGGTTATCAGTATTTTATTTTCAATGTTGCATGACTTAGTTGCCTTGAAACCAAACTCCCTTCACAGATCACATATATTTGCTCCCACTCAATCATTACATCTGTACTTAAATGAAGAAATGATAGAAACAATAGTTAACTGTACGGGTACCAACAAGGAATGTGAGAAAGTAAAAGGAGACAAATGGCAAAGGAATGATGTGACTTAATTGAATGAGTTTATTGGCTGCCTACTCCTTACTGGCCCCTAAGTCAAATGAGAAAAGTTGTTGAAAGGAGATTCGAGATATCAGAAAAAACAGTCAGTGTCCGCATGTATGACTCCCAGTGCCAAGGAAAAAGTTTAAAATTGGTGGTTTTGTTCTGACTAAGCAAAGCTCTCTAGAGGAATAGTTGAAATTAATTCATTATGAATGCAATTTTCATTATTTAGAATACCTATTAATTCATAAAGTACTGTGTGATTAAATCTTTTAACTTAAACAATACACATAAATAATCTTAAATAAAGGATTTAATTATAATAATTAAATTAATATTATTACTTTTCTAAAATTCAAATGAAAACAATAAATGTATCTAAATCATCTTCACAACTAGATTTTTAAAAAAAAATGATCTACGAAAATGGCTTAAACTAAAAAAGAAAATAGGAAAGAGAAAAATCTACCCGTCCTAGGAGATATTTACAAAGCAAAAAAAAAAAAAAACTAAACAGAATAAAACTATGAATCTATGAAATAACAAGGAGAAAAAAAACAATTAAAAAAAATAATTCTCATACTATTATTGTTATCACACACGGCTCCGAAGCCATTTGATTTGTACGGAGCCACTCTGGGTGCGAATAGTTATTTGCGATTAAAGGTACCCGGGTACCTATAGATGCAGCCCTCCTTTCCAATATATCGTGGTGTCACTTTGCTTCTATATGAATGTGGTCGTGCCTTGAAAACGATTGAGAACCTATGTTCCAGAGCTAGAGCTACTGAGTTTACTAATTCAGCGCAGTTAACTAGATTTTGCAGGTCATGGCTTACAGTTATAGTGACAATTTGGAACAATCTGTCACTTGCTGAAGTATACACACAATAAATGAAATTGTACCGATACAGGTATTCTAAAAGCGTGTACCGGTACCGGGTACCTGGGATTTCTCTGGATGAAAAATGTTCAGATTGTGTTGTTAGTATTGATGCTGCATGTACGCGTCAAAATTAAATCCCCCAAATAATCTGGCGGTACATGGTTTGGTGGATGCTAAATATAAATTTTTAAGTGTTGATTCATGAGTATATGCCAGGCAGTGACCGTGGTCTTCTTGTAGAACCTTATACTTATAATATTACTAACACATAGAAACAGGGTTTTTCCTCTTACCACAGCCAAGGCAGATACCAATACTAATAGTACCGTAACTACATATTCTTGAAGATCAAAAATATCAAATGCGTCCAATTCAGTGGCGTAGCAAGGGGGGTGCGGACCGCACTGGGTGGACCGCACTGGGTGACACCATCCCAGGGGGTGACACCAAATGAAAAAAAAGCCTATTTACAGAGCACAAACTGCTCTGTCTAATCGAATTTCATTAAAGGGAAACCGATCACACTTACATTTTTCACACATATAAGAGACCAATCGAAATGCGTGCTTTATTTAGAATTCAAGGATAATGCGTTACAAATAAGATGACTCTATAATTAGGTCAGAAAAACATCGTTTTTATCATGATGTAACGCCGATTAAAGTGTTCGTTAACTTTCTTGATAGGAATAGGAGGCTATATCATATCTAATGTCTGAGAAATAACGCTTTCCATTTATATCAAATACGATGGAGTCATGAATCAAGTGCAAGTTCATGCATCGAATTGGTAAAAATTCTAACTTTTGACTCATCTACCAGGTTTACAAAACATTATTTGGCACACTTTTCTTATATTGATCTTAATAATTAATTTAAATCTATTTTTTGTTACAATTCTTTAAAAAAAAAAAAAAAAAAAAAAAATTTAATTTTAAATTTTTTTTAAAAAGTTCATGCATCGAATTGGTAAAAATTTTAACTTTTTACTCATCTACCAGGTTTAAAAAACATTATTTGGCACACTTTTCTTTTATTGATCTTAATAATTAATTTAAAACTATTTTTTGTTACAATTCTTTAAAAAAAAAAAAAAAAAAAAAAAAATTTAAAGTTAAAGTTTTTTGAAACCAAATACAGTCGAACCCACTTATCGAACTTATCTCGACCTCAGTTAACTCACCAACCCTGTTATGTCGACGTTTTTGAAGTGGAACCGCCAAATTCTCTCTTTTGTCTTAGCATTTTCACCTCGGTTATGTCGATTCTTTTATGTCACCGAACCCTAATATCTTGAGCACAAAAGGCGGCCGAATTTGCCACTTAACCTCGGTTATCTCGATCCCCATGGCCATGACCAATCGCCGGCCTTTGAAGATTACATACAACAGAAACGTGTCTACTTCAAACTGTAGTAGGCCTACCTGGTCATTGAAATGAAAATATCGTTATCCGCGTAATTAACTTGACACAGCAAGAAGCGAGAGGCTTGCAAACAAAAGAGAGAGGTCGTAGTACCAGTTCTATTTATGGCGAACCTGCTTTTCGCGTTCTTACACGTTGATTTTTTCTTTAAAATCCAGAATCCGTATTTGAATAAACTGAACTGGCGTATCCGGAGGGAGAGAAAATATAAACTTGCGAATCTGGAGCTGAAAAATATTTAGCCTCACGAATCTGGAATTCCAGAAAAGTGGCACTCCACATTATCATATGCCTTGTGTTGTTAGCAAACTTGTAAGCCTATGAACATTTTTATAGCATGCCGATCGCTTTATCAAACAGATCGCGGTAACGCTGTTGTGTAAAAGAAAACAACAACTCCAACAACATGTGCATGTACATTCTCATTTATAAATGCACAGCGTGTACATAAAGAAATTTCAAGCACATGTTAATATGTTAATGTATTTCCGCCATATTGGCTTTTGGTTATCTCGACGCATTTTGGCAAACCCCGAGGCCGTCAACATAAAGGACATACCCGGCTTCGACTGTATATCAATATACCAGAAATAATAAAAAAATAGCATTTTCGTTGATTCGTCACTAGAACTTCCCCTTAATATTTGAGGACGATTGTCATACAGCACTATGCTGTCTGCAATTTCACGTTTATTTGCTACATTTTGCCTTTACTTTTGGGCTGATCTCCTGGAGGTAGTAACTCTTATACAGCAGTATCTGAAGACTAGGCTTTGATCTTGAAAAAGTGGTGACCAACCTGGAGGCCTTAAGATTGTTTTTGTCACTTTGTGGAACATGGTATTGAAAAGTCACTTTTAAAATCAGACCAATATGGAATTTCAGTAGAGAGAAGATTAAGGTTTAAGAAAGGAGATACTGAAGTGTAGTGATTACTTTCATTCTACACCCCAGATCAGATTATCAGCGATCAATGAAGTAGCAATTATGTTTTGGGCTGTTCAAACAAAGACCAAGAGAGTCTACTATCAGCAAGGGAAAAAGAGTTATTGGTGTCCATTCCATAATCAACCTCTTTCTATGATGAGTTATCAGAAGATGAACTTTTAAAAGAAATACCAAGGCTTAGAAGACACCTACAGGCAGCTGATATTGAATTTCACAAAGTCATGGATTAGTCAGTATTTGATGTTTTGAAATTCATAGGTGAATGGGACTTCCTAAAATCTCTTCCATACTGTCAAATCTATTTTTTTTTTTTACCAAAAATCATTTGTTAGAAACATCAAAGTATCATAGCAAGCTCCCAGTGTACTTTTTATTTTTAGGCATAAAAGTTAAATGAAAGAAATTATAAAAATAGTATGTTTTAATGATGTTTGGCTTATTATTGTAGATACACACACACATTGGGCTAAATTTAAGTGCTGTTTTATGAGAAATAACTACTGGTACCGGTATTTATTTTTGTAAAATTTAATTTTTTTTAACTTTTTGACAAACTCCTTCCTATAAATAATAGCTATAAAGTAAAGCATTATAATTACAGGTACCTTATTCAATAGCTTAATATTAACATTACCCATAATAAAATTAAATATATTATTAAAATTTAGCTATTGAATTTCATCAAATGTAGATGAACATAAATTATAAAGTAAAGTATAATAATGCAAATATGAAATAAAATTTGGGGTGTATCATCTGCCTCAACCCTCCAGGAAGAATTCATGTTCTTAACTTAAGCATGTATGAACCCTTTGGTGCATACCAGTTCAAATGTTGGTCTCCTAGTTATAATAGTAATCAATTATTAATAAGGAAACAAATTAGTATTTTTATTAGAGTTAGAACATTTTTTAATATTATTTTTTTTTTAAAAACTGATTCATATGGATGAATTGTCAAGAAAATCTGAGACGAAAGACATTTAGGTAGGATGTTGATTACAATCTGATTCAATAGAAATTACTGTGTTGTTTGGGCTTACTTGGATCATATTAGGTGATGAAGCTGAAGAAGAAGAATTATAATCAACTGATGAACTGGAGCTTTCCACTTCTTGTTTACTAATCTCATTTAGCAAAATTTGTTGTATTTTAATTTTGGTAGCAAGCTTCCTCCTTTTTGGAATTTCATGAAAATGTGGTAGTAAACTCATAAGGAAATGATAGTCATCATCTTTATTTCTTCTGCTGTTGATTTTTTCCACAAGATCGATCTTTTTCTGCTCAATAGAAAGAAGTTCATTTATCGTATCCGACCTACGAATAACTTGTTTTCGTTTTCTTAGAATATTTGTTTTTTTGTAGGGTATTGGACTTTTACTAGGAAGTGGGTCTTTTTGAACAGTGTTTCCAAAAATTTCAGTGTCTTGTGTTTCCCCACTAATGGAGCTGGAATCAAGATCATTATAATTGATTCTCTCATCAGCCATCACCTTTTCATCCTGCTGTGAATTTAAGTCAGACCCCTCATAGCACAGAATTGTAACAGGTTTATTGGTTTTAGATTGCCTTGGAGAAAAATTATCCTTGAGAAATAATAGCTGGGAGTAAAACTTCCACCGGCTTAAGGGCTTTAGGGTATCACCTAGAGCTTCACTTTTTGCATTCATTTTTGTGAGTTTGACTTGCTCTTTACGAAAGGTGTCCCTCAGGTTTTGCCATTTTGATTTCACAACTTCAGCTGAAAATAAAAAACAAAACAAATATATATCTTTGCTCTTAGATGTTGACAAAGCATAATTATTTTAGCTTTCTATTTATTAATTCTTTCTCATTTTAGATTCATGTTGACAGAATAACATTCAGAGTCATATACCGGTATTAGAAATTTAAGTACAGGTAAAGACTTAACTTTTGATGCCTTTGTAAAATGTAGGTTATACCTGTAATATTTTTTATCATAATTATAAATTATAACATTTAAATGAGAACAATCCAACATTGGAACCTTAATTACTACAAGTACTCTTAGTTATAGCTTTCAGTGGAGACTTATGACCATATATTTATGAGGAAAATTTTAATTGCAATACCGATATCTTTATTACAGTACGGTAGTTTAAAAGTTAAGTATTTGAAAGTACAAATATGTTGACCTGGTTCATGTTGTAATATTTTTAAAATTTTGTTTTTCAACAGTAATTAATAAAATTGCTAGCAGCACACTATCTCTTTCTGTTTTAGTGTAATAGGTGCATCCCTTTACAAAAAAAAAAAGGTTTTGATTTATAAAACTGTTGTTTCTGAAACCCTATATCCATGCATGATATTTTTTTGTTATTTTAGGACAAATAAAAAATTAAATCACAATTCATGTGTTTTATTTTTTATTTCAACATTGTTGTATTTGTGTCTCCATAAATATGGTTGATTTTGTATTTTTAAAATTAAAATACTTAAAAACAAATAGTTTCAAAAGAGTAATAGTTTGATCACAGTCTGTAGTATAAATTACTTAATTAATTACATGGACATAAGGGGGAGAAAAAAATCATAACTTTTTAATAACTTTAATTCTATCACTGTTATAAGTTAGTATAACTTCTTCTTCTATTAGTTCTATGGTGTATGTTACGGAAATATAAACTGATGTCATTGAACACCTGTAAATAATCCAGCTCTTGCCAACGTTATCCTTTAAGGTTTAAGGGTCTAAAGGATAGCGGAGTTTTAGTTTTTAGGAAAAAAATAATCACCTTGTATTGACTATTGTCAACATAATTATAATCATTTCAATGCACTCTTCTAAGGTTTAGGTCGTATGCCTATTTTAATTAAAACTTAAACTATTTATGAAAATTTAAAAGTAAAGAGGCGTATTTCATTTAATAAAATAATAATAGTATTGGCATTTGTTTTAGTTTTAATTTTAATAAAATGTGTTTAAATGATAGATTGTGATAAAATATTAAACTATAACTATTACTATTAATATTATTCACATTCTTGTAATACTTGTATAACTTGAATACTACTATACTAAAACTATACTAATAACTATGACTATACTATACTTAATTTACTTATACTTATGTTATTTACTACATCTCTTAATTATAATAATAATAATAATTAAAACAGCATTATGATTGAGCATGCGTTCCAAACAAGGTGATTAACCTTTCTTGATTGAAATAAGTTTACAAAATCTAATTTAGCCTTAAAAAAGAATTCTCACTTGTTGTGTCAAATTCTGTGGCTATTTCAAGCCAAAGTTTTCGTCTAACATCCTTATTGTGGTAGCTCTTTGTTTTTATATCCCACAGGGGCGTGCGGTCATGCACCAGAGATATTAGTTTTTTTACATCTACCATTTTGTAACTGTAAAATTGTATTTATTTATTATAGAATATGATCCAAACGGAAACTAGACTCTACATATATGAAGAAAGTCCATATTATAGTTTCTAAAATGACATTTAAAAAAATTTGATTTTGATGCAGTAACAAATAAAATTAACAAACCGCTTTAATTTAATTTCGACCAAATTAGTTAATTAAAGAGCGAAGCAACTATCGTGACTGAATTTGGCTTAGCCACTGTAGTCTGTAGGCATCTACAATTTGTTCGTACAATTTTTTTTTTTACCGAATTTGGTCTCCTATGCCCGACAGTGTCGGTCTTATTTGTCAATTACAGATCCGAATTGATCCAATTTGATTAAAGCCTTTAACTAAATTTGACGTCACTGAAATTTGCGTTCTATCAACTTCCCCCCCCCCCCACCCCCTTCTTTATTTCTACCTTCCACACTAAAAACGGAAGTCAATTTTTACCCCCCTTTACACATTCCATAAGTTATCATTTCTTAGGACGCTACTACCGTTGCTACGAATCATCGAATGGTATAATATGGAACAAGTTTTTTAATTATATCTATTAATTGTAAACATGAGGGCAACACCAACGTGGGTTGACAAGGCTCTTGATAGCAATAAGCATGAGCAATGGTAAGGACATTTAATTTAGCCATTTAAATTGTATTGCTTAATTTTAATTAAGTTACCGTTCTGAGTTACGTTAGCTAAAATAATAAACTTATAAAGTCAGGATTTATGTACATTTACATTACTTACTAAATGATTACTTACTAATATTAATGTTACTAATTATTACTAACTAATAATAATTAATAACTTAGGATTTGGCCTAATTTAGACCTAAATACTAAGACTAAGTTATTAGTAACTAAGACAACTGACAACTTTATCATTATCTAAACTAGTGAATGTTAATGTTAGTGAATAGTAGCCTAAGGCTAAGGCCTAAGTGAAAATGAGTCTAATCCTTAGAACTTACTAAGAAGACTACTAAGACTAAGTGAATAACTTATATGTTCATTTTTTATTACTAGGCCTAACCACTTACTTAGACTTAGACTTACTACTGCTATGTATTACTTTTACTTATATATAGTCCTACTAGTCTAAAATTTGTAGTCAAAATAAATAATTGGTCTACTCTAACTCTAAAACAACTTATAACTTATAATGACTTATCTCATATATAATTTTTCAGTGTGTGGGACTTGTGCTTCAGTCCTGATGGCCAGAGATTGGTTGTTGCTGCTGGGAATCGTGTTCTTGTATATGATGCCACTGATGGAACCCTGATCCAGTCCCTCAAAGGACACAAAGAAACAGTCTTTTGTGTTGCTTATGCCACTGATGGGAAGAGATTTGCATCTGGTTCAGCTGATAAGAATGTCATAATATGGACCAACAAATTGGAAGGGATCCTGAAGTATCTGTAAGAAAATTAAAATATTTATTTCTGAAAAGAGCCATACAAACTCAGGAGTGCTTTTTTTTCAGATTAAGAATTTTTTAATCTTTGATACTGTCACATTTTATAACTCAGTACTGTTAATGAAAAGATATCACAGTTTTAGAAATGTAGAAACTTTTGAAAAAGTATTGTGCCAGTCTTGAAGTTGTTTTTTGACATTTCCATTTTAATTGGTTAAAGGTCAGGGCACATCAAAACTTTGTTAGGAGCAAATTCCATCTATAATGTAGTATTTTTTTATATTGTTTGTTTATTATGAATATACCAGACAGGTTAAAAATATTAAATTGCTTGTTTTTCCTCTAACCTTTCAAAGATAATTCAAATGTCATTTTATTTTTCAGGCACAATGAAGCCATCCAATGTCTTGCATATAACCCTGTTACTCATCAGTTGGCAAGCTGTGCTGTAACAGATTTTGGTATTTCATTATTTAACATTATTACTTTAATGCAATTAGGAATAGGAAATACAAATTATAACAATGATATGATCAATAAAAGAGTTATATTTGTTAAACTTGGAGTAAATCATTGGTTTTACACTTAATCAAGGGTGATGAAAACTAAAATAAATGTTTTTAAGAAAGATTTTTAAAAAAAGAAAACTATTTTTGTAGCCATTTACGTTTTTATAAAATTGTTGAAAAGATTAACATTGAAGCAAGCTAAAATTAGTTTGTTAAATTTAATTTTATAATTCCATTCTGTAATGTTTAAACAAATTTTTGTGCTTGTAGGTTTGTGGTCATCAGAACAAAAGTCTGTTACAAAACACAAAGTGAGTAGTCGCATCACTTGTTGCAGCTGGACTAACGATGGCCAATACATTGCTCTTGGGCTTTACAATGGCCTAGTCAGCATTAGGAATAAGGTGATATGCTACATAATTGGAGATCCTATTATAAATAGTTAATGGTTTTATTCATTAAGTGTATAAAGAGTTCATAAGAATCAGATACCACTGAATAGAAAAATAATTTGATGCTGGTTTTAATTGTTTTTTCTTTTCATAAGGCAGGAGAAGAAAAGGTAAAAATTGAAAGACCCCAGGCAAATATGGCCCCTGTTTGGGCAGTTTCCTGGAATCCTAACAAAGATGAAACTAGTGATGTCTTGGCAGTTGCAGACTGGGGACAAAGACTTTCATTTTATCAACTTTCAGGCAAACAGGTAAGCAAAAAGAAGAAAAAAAAAACATTGAAGTATCTAGAATGCCATTCACAGCACCAAAATAAAAAGGGCAACATGATCTCTTGTATATATTTTTTGCATCTGGTATGGCTGCTTCCTATTCACAACCGACCCTCCATACACAACAGGTTTTATGATTATAGTACTAAGTGGGAAAAAAAGCTGTCAAGCAGCGATTGAACTCAAGTGAAAAGATTGAATTTTCTTTTAGGTGGGGGGCCACTGTTATATTAATCAATAAAGAGCCTCAGGTATGGTGTAGGACTGTCTGTAGGACTTTTGTTTAAAGGCCAACTGGTAGGATGTAAGACTGACTGTATGTCTATTGTTTATAAAAAATGAGAAGTTAACTCTTTTTTTAACACTTAGACCCAGTGGGTATTTTCTCAATATACCCAGTGTAAAGAAAATGCATCCGGTTAACCCAGAGTATAAATTATTTTCTTTCAATTATATCATTTCTTATATATCATTTTCTTTTAAATTAATAAATGGTTGCAACATGGATCCTTCCCCTAACTCAATGATAACAGCTATTTATATTTTTGGTAGTAGCTTTTAATTTAAGTGAATACAATGCAAAATTAATTACCTCTAATGATACTTTTAGACATGGTCACTGACAGGGAAAGCTATTGATTAATTATCTCTAATGATACTTTTAGACATAGCCACTGACAGAGAAAGCTATTTAAAACTTAACAAATATTTTGGTAACAGGTCCTCTTGTATTTATTTTTAAAAATTATCTGCATGTCACATGTTTGAAATCTTTATAATTTATTGGCACAGATGACTTTCTGGGAGTATTTGTGTGTAATAACAGTTCCTTCATTCTATACTTCTATCATAATTCAATGCATTTGATTTTGATCCCCCAGATTGGCAAGGATAGACAACTTGGTTACGATCCATGTTGTTTGGGCTGGTATCCTAAAGGGGAATATGTGGTGTTGGGAGGAGCCAATAAACAATGTTGTTTACACACCAAGGAGGGGGTCAAGTTAGGGGTCATTGGAGAGACGCCTGGGTGGGTGTGGAGTTGTGCGGTGAAACCTGATTCAAATTATGTGGTAAGTGAATGACATTTGTGCTTATTCAATAATTTTAAAAATATTTTAATTGGGAGGGAATATTTACATGAAACTATTGAAACTCGGGACAGTAAAACAAAACAAAAAAACTTTAAATATTTTCCAGATTAACCAGGACTAAATTTTTATATCAGTTAAACAGGATGTTAAAATCATATTTAGAAATTATTTCTGGAAATAAATACAAAAAACAATTTTTAGATGGAATGTTGTTTAGAATGGAAGTTTGACAGACACATATTAGTTCGAATGGAAATTGTTAGTTTTTTTAAACTGTCAATGTAATATGCTATAAATAGAAAATTCCCAATGTTAGAAAAACTTATTAATAAATAATTTTTATTTTTTACTGCTTGTATTTTTATTTTTTACTCAAATCACCAATAATTAAATTATTGTATTATGATTTTTTTTTTATTTAAAAATTTGTGTAAATATCTGTTTGTTAAGAAAGAAATAATAATAAATAAAGAAAACAAATTTCAATTTGAAAAAAATTCTATTCAAACAATATTCCTTTGTAAAAATTTGTTTCGTACAAATGTCAGATAACCATGAGCTATAATTGTGTTAAGATTTATATTTTTACAAAATCTGTTACCTAATGTTGCATACTGACAACGGGGAGTTGTTTGTTTGTTTTTTTGTGAAGAATGTGTGATGTATTTTTCACAGTATATGCTTTCCTGTAAATTCTCCTAAGCTCTTGATTATAAGCTGTGGTTATTATGAATAGTATCACTTTTATTTATTTTTTCCTATTGGCCTAGATAATTCAAAGATATCTGTATTTAATTTCAGAAACTAATTATTCTCAAAAATTTACATAAATTCTTAAATAAATAATTTTAAGTGGCTTAATGTCTCAAGACAATTATATACTCATCCCAGAATGCCCAGTTACATTAATGCTAAATGAACAAAATTTTAAAAAAAGAGAGAGAGAGAGAGACAAATTGACACCTCCCCCCACCTTTTTTTTCTTCTTCTTCCATCTTTATGCTCCTTCTTTGTACAGCAAGTAAAGATAATCTTATTAGATTATGAGACACAATTTGTGTAAATAAAGTAACATATGTTAAGGTTTAATTAATTATGATTAGACAAAATATAAATTCAAATGTTTTGGTTAATGCCATCAGCACAACAAAAATCATTAATAGATTATAAATTAAAGTTATATTATGTATGTATATACTATCTATACAAAAAATGAAAGATATGAATAGAATATGAATGGGCACAAGTCCATAACAAAATCTTTTTTTAGAAGAATGGAAAGAAAGTGGGTCGAAATACAATATAAAAACCAAGCAGGAAAGAGAGATTGCAGATATGTAATAATGTGACCATTATTATTTTCTTAACATATATGTTTTATTTACACAAATTGTAAGTGTCTCATTATTCTACTTAAAAGCTTTCTTGCAGTCCAACTTTTTTATAAGTTAACTATATAAAAAAAAATTAATGATCTAACACATAAAACACTTATCGTTACCTCTAGGCTGTAGGAAGCAATGATGGGACCATTGCCTTATACCAGCTTATTTTTAGCACTGTGCATGGCTTATACAAAGAGAGATATGCTTACAGAGACAATATGACAGATGTTATTATACAGCACCTAATAACAGATCAGAAAGGTGGGTTCTAACAGTTGTTGAATAGCATTTAAGTGTTTGAATTGCTGTATGGCTATAGGAAAAGAACAAAAAGAAAGAAAGAGCAATAATTAGTTGTGAATTCTTAGTGAATTGTATTAAAGATATTTCAATTGGGTCTTTCAGTTCGTATAAAGTGTCGTGATCTGGTGAAAAAAATTGCTATTTACAGAAACAGGCTTGCGGTAAGTTTGTAACAACAAAATTTATTTTAAATTATATTTTGGTACTTAAAATGATTATATTTGATACATGTCAGTGAAATTGTATGCTACTTTTGTTTCCATCAAAATGGTCTTGTGAAATATGTAATTTTAACAACTTATGTTCAATTGTACATTCTGAAATGTTATTTTTTTAAATCAGGTCCAGCTTCCTGACCGCATCATTGTGTATGAGCTGTACTCTGATGATTCAGCTGACATGCACTACAGGGTTAAAGAGAAAATCAATAAGAATTTTGACACCAATCTGTTAGTAGTTTGCTCTCAACACATTATTCTCTGCCAGGTTAGTTTCTTGAAACAGCATACTTTGTATGGCAAGTTCTCTCACTAAATCATTTAAATTGCATGGCAAATACTCTCACTAAATTGCATGGAAAGTTCTCTCACTCAATCAATTCAAAGAGGAGAAAAGCTATTTTGCTAAGGATAATAGCAATTATTTAATATTCCTCTCTAATTTTGTCTGTTTTGTTGTTGCAGCTTTCATATTAATAATAGGAAATATGTTATCATCACTCAACTGAAATTCAAAACCTTCAACCTTTATCTCAAAACCTTAAAGTCTTCAGCTGTAAATAATTTTTGTTTCAGGAGAAAAAGCTGACCTGTTTATCATTTTCTGGGGATAAAGAAAGAGAGTGGGTGATGGAGTCAATTATTAGATATATCAAAGTCACTGGTGGCCCACCTGGCAAAGAGGGGATACTTGTGGGGCTCAAAAATGGTCAGGTAGGTCAGGTTTTGTTAAAGATATATTGGCACATAAACCTTGTTTTACACTTCAGATAATAAAATATCACAGACATATGACTGTGACAGTTCAGTCTCTTAAGATTTTTAGGTCATAATAATGAGTAAATTTAGAAACTTTCGTTTTGCTTCCATATGAGAGTGAAATACCATTTATATCATTGGTTATTATTATAATTAATGTCTGCTTCATTAATCTTGAAAATAAGCATTTAACTGTTTCAGTATAAAACTTGTCACTATTATACTGAAGTTATAAATATCACTCTTTTAATATCCCTTATTTATAATTAGTTATCTTAAAAGAAAAATCCGTTTTACACGAAAACCAAAATTTAAAAAAAAGAAATTTTTGGGGCCAATGTTCAGAAGATCATTGGTTGGATAGATAAGTGGGGCTGATATCAATGAATGAACTTCAGCCAGATCCACAAATTTTCTTCCAATGCAGCTGATACGCCAAAAAACATAAAATAATTTCAGAAGTAATGGAAGAAAAACATAACTTGCCTTCTGATACCTCTTTTCTTCTATTTAGATAATGATAATTCATTTATAAAATGTAAAAAATCATAATACACTCCCTCCCACATGAAGATCTTCAAGATTTTTGCCGACAATGCTTTTCCAATCCTTCTGATGAAACAAAGCACATCGGTAAGATGTCTAGATCTGAGTTCCTCACAGAACAAACTGGCAGTAGTTGATGAGCAAAGCACTTGTCTGGTTTATGACCTGACAACTAAGGAGTTGCTTTTCCAGGTTGGTTTGTTAAAAGGAAAATATATATATATATATTTTTAAATATAACCTTTTAAAAGACATTTAAAGTATTGGTTTTTCTGAAAAATTTGCCCTAATATTTAAAATGTGGTTTACTTTATATAAAGGGTTTAAAATAATTCCATTTTGTAAATCTTTTAACCATAGTTTTGTAAAGTTTAAAAATCACAAATAATTTTTCGATTACAAAGCTTATGAAAGTATACTACATTACCCATTTTAGTTTCATGTTCTTTAGTTTGTTTTTTTTCCTGCACTTTTACATAAATTAGATGAAAATCTGAAAAATAAATTATTATGTTTCAATTTTGAAAATGTATAATTTGTGAAGGAAAGAAATGCTAACAGCGTTGCATGGAACACACAATATGAGGATATGCTGTGTTTCTCTGGGAATGGCATGCTGAACATTAAAGCCAGTAATTTCCCGGTTCATCAACAAAAGTTACAGGTGACCTAAAAATAATTAAACCCATTTTTAGAAATTGCTAAAGCTTATAGCACTTTAACATAGTCTAATTTTGTGTACTTTTAGATAAATTAATGAATTCTTGGAATTTAATTTCTTTAAAGTGTACATTTTATGGAGGCAATTTACAAGTCATGTAAAGATAAATTTTAAAAAGCATATTATTATTAAATAAATTATGCTAAGAAAAGTAGAATCAAGACATCAGTTTTTACAGAAGTGAGTTTTTAACTTGCCAGGGCAAGATCTTATGTCCTTAAGAGGTCACTTATTTTTAGGACAGTGATTCAATAAAACTTTCCTCTATGTTCATTCCAGATTTAATTTGTGTGTCAACATATTTATTATAAACTATTTCAGGGGTTTGTTGTAGGATTCAGTGGCTCCAAGATTTTCTGTTTACATGTGTATGCCATGTCAGCTGTAGACGTGCCTCAGTCTGCACCTATGTACCAGTACTTGGAGAAAAAAATGTTCAAGTACGTTCAGTTGTGCTGAAGATCTTTTTTCATCAATGTGTATTATTTGTAATGTTAAGAAATGAGTTAAGCTTTTTTGGTCTTAATTGCAAAGTAAATACTATATTGGAACTTTTTATAGCTTCTATACTACTATTCTATAAGTGATTATTATGAAATAATATGGTTAATATTGGAAAAATAACATTTTAAATGAATATTTGTCGAAAAAGCATTAATTCAGCATTGTAATAGGTGCTCTCATAGAGAAGACTTTAAAAAATTTTTAAATTTTGTTATCCTTCATTGGAATAAAAGTAACCCTTTCAACATAGTGCACAAAATATATACTGCTTCACAATTCTATTTATTTATATTATTTTCTCTTTATTAATTTACATTATATTTGATGGTCTTAACTTCGTAAAAGGTAATGATGAAATACTTTGATATAAGTTTTACTCAAGTACATGAATTTTCACATTCTTTGTGAGTGTAAAAGTACATTTTTTTTATTTTCAGAGAAGCATATAAAGTGGCATGTCTCGGTGTGACAGAAGGAGACTGGGAGGCCTTGGCCCATCAGGCCTTAGAAGGACTGGACTTTGAGACAGCTAAAAAAGCTTTTATCAGGATTAAAAATCTTCGATACTTGGAGTTGATTCATGGTATAGAGGTAGGTCACCTATACATTTTCGTTAAAATAATGCATTTACTTTAATGAAAATAAAATGAGCAAATAATTTAAAATCATTGTCATCTTGTTTTTTAGGGCGAAGAAAAATTCCTATTATAAAAGGTGGGTGGGGTGGCTAGTTGAATTTGTACATTACTTTACTTCTTCTGTTGCTTGACATAAAATAAAATTGCTGCCTTTGATATTTAGGAACGCAAGCGGCGAGGTGAGCAGGACAACATGGTTTTCTTGGGTGATGTGTACTCCCATCAGGCAAAGTTCCATGAAGCTGCAAAGTTGTATAAAAAATCTAACCAAGAGCAGAAAGCTCTCAACATGTACACTGATCTGAGGATGTTTGACAATGCTAAGGTAGTCTTGAAATTGTTTATGTTTGGATTGTCCAGTGTTGCTTCCCACCTGCTCAAAAGATCCAGCTGCAAACAAATTTTTTTTAAACAAATTGATTTTTTTTTTAAATGTTTTTTTGAGTGGCGGAATATTTAGAAAAGAGCTGTGACCAGTGGCGTAGCTAGGGTTGGTGTCACCCGGTGCGATAAACTCATGGTGTCGTCCCCCCCCCCCCATTACCATGATGGTTTTTTTCTTGTTAAAATAAGTCCACAATATAACAAAAACAAATAAATCGAAGTTCATGTTAATATATTTAAAAACGTTAAGTTATAGCTGTATTTAAATGGTGTCGTCCCCCCCCCCCCCATTACCATGATGGTTTTTTTCTTGTTAAAATAAGTCCACAATATAACAAAAACAAATAAATCGAAGTTCATGTTAATATATTTAAAAACGTTAAGTTATAGCTGTATTTACTTTAAATTTACAATTTAAAAATTTCCTTTCTCTGTCTTCAAAGCTGCAAACCTGTCAATCACTTGATCAAAATCAAAGTTTTTCACTGTATCACTTTCAATTTGATAGCAGAGCCACATCAGAAAACCTTGACTGTCACATGGTGGATCATAAATATTTCTTGATAAGCTTTAGTTTTGAAAAGCTCCGCTCTCATGAAGCCACATACACACACATCATAAGAAAAAAATTAAAGGCATAGCGAGAGTATTGGAAGAGATTCCAGTAATACCCATTCAGCTTTGAATTTCAAAACATAAAATACTGACCAGTCCATGACTTTGAGAAATCAGCTGCTTTTAAATGTCTTCTAAGCCTTGATATTTCTTTTTAAAGTTCATCTTCTGATAACTCATCATTGAAAGAAGTTAGTTTTTGAACGGACACCAATAAATCTTCTTCACTTGCTGATACTAGACTCTTGGGTTGAACAGACACAAACAAACTTTGTACTTCCTTGATCACTGATGATCTGATGTGGAGTTCAGAATGAAAGCGATCAATACACTCCAGCATCTCCCTACTGTTTTCTTCTCCAGAAAGAGTTCAGCATCTATTAATTAATAGTTCTCCTGCCATTCTCTTCTTAAACCTTAATCTTCTCTCCACCGAAATTCCATATTGGTCTGATTTTAAAAGTGCCTTATCAATAGCATGTTCCACTAAGTGACGACGCTTCTCGTGCAGAAGCAGTCTTAAGGCCTTTAGGTTTGTCATCACTTTGTCAAGAGTAATCCCTTAAATCTGCAGATAGTGCTGTGTAAGATTAACTTCCTCAAGCAGATCAGCCCAAAGTTAAAGGTAGCAGATAAACGTGAAATCACAGACAACATGTAAGAGATCTTGAGCTTAACCTCTTGTGTGCAAATTTTTACAAGGTGGTGACATAGAGCTTTAATCGCCTCCCAACATTCATCAAACACATCTTTCACTGTTTTAACAGTAGCATGATGAGCACTCCAAAGCGTTGTTGATATTCTTTTCACCGACATTACAGTGTGTTCAATTAGAACATTCCATCAATTATTGGATGCAGCAAAGAAGGAAAATATTCTTTCAAGAGTACCGAATAATGTAATACATGAAGCATTTTATGATACGACTTATCCCTCCTTGTAGGTGAAATCCCCCCCCCCCCCAGGTGAAATCCCCCCCCCCCCTTTTCAACCTCCAAATTTTTTTGGGGTTTTATTATTTTATTTCAAAATCATGTCCCACACCTGGGAACCTGTGTGCCTTGACAGTTCTTGTCATTGAAAGTAGATAAATACATTAAGTAATCAGGAGTGAAATGTTGTGGACATGTGGTGTACTTGGTTAACTTTCATCAGGAATTTCTTGGAGCTGGCGACGCCCAGGACAAGAAACTTCTCATCACCAAGCAAGCAGATTGGGCAAAGAGCAGCAATGAGCCCAGGGCTGCAGCAGAAATGTATATCTCAGCAGGGGAATACTTGAAAGCCATTGACATAATTGGGGACCATGGATGGCCGGACATGTAAGTTGGGCTTGCCATCTATGACCATGACAGACAAGTCAATGAAATACAGATGACAGACAAGTGAATGAAATACAAATATAGAAACAAATGTATAGCTGGTATCTTTTTTTTAAAAAGAGAAACCATGATTTAATTACTCTACTTAATTGATATATGTAAAAGGTATAGTTTAAATTCAGATTCCATTTTAAATAATTTGAAATTTCATTTGGGACAAAATTAATGTTGTACACATTTGCCAGCATTCCTGGTTCACTTGAAGGATATTGCGACAGAAAATCTGAATGCCACAGATCCTAATATCCAAAAATGCAATACCTCCATTAGAAACTAATAATAACAAAAACACAATCTGAAGCAATTTGTAATGGATCACCTTGGGCATGGAACATGGTGCAAGGCGTAATGTCTACATATGGCCGCCAGTAATGGAGCTGTATGAGATTTTTTTTTAAACTGTCGCAATTTTTTTTTTTAAAAGATGATAATAGAAATCTCCAAAATCGTGCTTATTCATTGAGAGACATTTGACAATGTAAAGCTAAAATTTAAGTTGTTGATTCAGTGTTTAATGTCTAGGATGATTGACGTGGGATTTAATGTTTCACGTTTAGGATGATTGACCTGGCTCGAAAGATTGACAAAGCTGACAGAGAAGCTCTCAGCCGGGCAGCCCAACACTTGGCCAAGATGGAGCAGTATGGCTATGCTGCAGAAGTCTATAGTAAAATGGGGGACCAGAAGGCTTTGATCTTAATGAGAGTGGAAGCCAAACATTGGGATGATGTTAGTAACAATGAGTTTTTTTGTCAGAGACACTACACAAACATCTCATGTTATGTCCATTAAACTTATGTTTAATTCATCTATTTAATTAATTATGTTGTGAAATTTGTAATAAGTGTTAATAAATATTTTAGATGCTGTTTGCCATGTATATAGATTGGTTAAGTTTGGTAAGGTATCTATATAATATTAAGGGGGAAGTAGGGGGCATTTGTCCACTGTCAAGTGGGGGTACACATTCTGTCATGTTTTTGTACTTAACCTCAATTTTTCACATTTATAATGCATCTAGTTTGAGAGAGGGAGAGACAATAGGTTAGGCATGTGGACAAAGATGGTCTTGAAATTTGTATTGACATGTATTCATGTTAAGAAGCAGGGGATGGTGGATACTCTACTTGTAACACATATATTTATCCTTGACATCATATAATCATTAAACTATTAACAGAATTAAACTGTAGAGAAGTATGTAAGAGAAACATACATAAATAATTGCCAAGTATGAGATTGGATGTTTAAAATGTAAAGATCATCTTTGGGGGGGAAATTGAGACAGTCTTTTTTCATAAGGGTGTTGACAGACATAAATCTATGAGGCATCAAGCAACATGTAGATGAAAAACTATAGGAAAACTATACATTTTCATGATTTGGTAGTCTCCCCCCCCACCCACACCACCCATCTACAGTATTGAAACAGATGTTTAAAATGTAAATATCATCTTTGGGGGGGAAATTGAGACAGTCTTTTTTCATAAGGGTGTTGACAGACATAAATCTATGAGGCATCAAGCAAAATGTAGATGAAAAACTATAGGAAAACTATACATTTTCATGATTTGGTAGTCTCCCCCCCCCCCCAACCACCCATCTACAGTATTGAAACCTATATGACAGCCCTCATATAAATCAGCTAACAACTGTAACCAGAATTAAAAGACTTAATTAATGAAGTCACAGGTTTAATATTTTAGAATGATTCATTTGTTTATAATAAGAAGATGAGGATGTTCAGTTTTATTGAGATGCGATCTTTGCAGGCTTTCACTTTGGTAGAACAACACCCAGAGTACAAAACAGATGTGTACGTCCCTTATGCACAGTGGTTAGCTGAAAAGGATCGTTTTGAAGAAGCCCAGCAAGGTACGTTGTTTCCCTTACAGTTGTAATCAATGCATGTTTTTCTAATAAATGAATGTAATACTCATGGCAGATTAAAAATCTTGATTTGGCATTGTTTTCAATATGCCAATTATGAATGTTAATTTTTATTCTTTTAACTTTTCAATCTGGCCAAAGAATATTAAGAACATGGGATCCAATAATTTAGAAAAATAGCTTAAACCTTGTTTAAATGAGGAGAGTGAAAGTGTCATAATTCCTTTAAATTAAAAGATAAACTTCACATGCGCTAGCATTTTGTAGTGATGATCTCAAAAACGTTATTGTGTTTATTTATATATACATAGCCTTCCATAAAGCCGGCTTACAAGCTGAGGCTGTCAAAGTCTTAGAGCAGCTGACACATAATGCTGTTGTAGAGTCAAGGTTTGATGATGCAGGTTACTACTTTTGGAAGCTCTCCATCCAGTGTCTTGATATTGCCAGGGGTAAGTCTGAGCTTTGGTTGCCATGAAAACCCATGACATAAAGTAATTATAGCCTGACTTATTTAGCTTTTTATTGGGCATGTGACAATCAGAGTCATATTAACACAAAAGGACCAACTGCAATTTAGGCCAGTTTATAAAACTTACATTTTAATTCCAAAGTTTTTATTAGGAAGCCATTTCTTATATTTACAGACTTATACTTTTTACTATGATGTAGGATACATTTACCTTTACCCATGTTATAATGCTAACTATTTATTTGGATGACAAGATAGTCTCCTAATATTCTTAATTTAGTTTAATATGCGGATAACTGCCTTTTTAGCAGAAAATTCCCTATTTTTTGCAATGCCTTTCTTCAGGGTTTTCCCTGTATAAATAACACTAAATTTAGCCATTTTTATATGGCATAGCATTTATTGAATGAACTTTCTACCATAATTACTGCTAATTTTATATAGTTTTTGGACCTTGATTTTCAAAGAATGAAATTTTATATAGTTTTTGGACCTTGATTTTCAAAGAAGAGTCCCATCAAATGATTCAAAAAGTAAATTTTGACCCAATTTACACACAACAATGTGCAAAGGATTACATTTACTTCAGTTATTTCTAACAACACTACCAAATAACATGAACACCAAAATGCCTACACCTGGTTGGCAAATGAAAAAAGTCCCTTTATTTTAAAATAATGGGATTCTTTTTAAAAAAAACATTGTATGAGTAAAATCTGACTTATTAATTGATTGGCATGGATTTAATTTATATTTTTGTTTCATTTTACAGAACAACCAGAAAAAAGACACGACATGCTTCAGAAATTTCAAGACTTTCAAACTAAAGCCAACATATACTATGTATATCACACAATAAACCGTCATGTGGTAGGTTTTTATATGTGGTATATTTTTTATATTTCTGAAATAAAAATCCTTTAATTTATTCATTGTTTTATAAGACAAGAAATATTTTTTTTCTTTGATTTGATTTTAATTTTTGTATTACATTTAATTTTTCAGGTTGAACCCTTTACCAGTGTCATGCCTGAAGGACTGTTTAACATGTCTCGTTATTTACTCCACAACATTGATGAGGAAGTGCCTTACGGTGTTTCCAAATCATATCCTTAAGAAAAATGCCTCATTTATTGATATGTTTAAAATTAGATTATGTTCTTTAAGACTTATATTTTTTTTTTTACAGGACTGAGGGAGAAATATATATTGGAGCCAATTTAAATCAATTTAATTATATTTGCAACAGAAACTAAGGAAATTGTCATTATATATTATATATTATATAATGACAATTTCCTTAGTTTCTGTTGCAAATATAATTAAATTGATTTAAATTGGCTCCAATATATATTTCTCCCTCAGTCCTGTAAAAAAAAAAAAAAGTGCAAATTTATATGTACATAACAAATTTGAGACTATTTAAAATATACCTAATTGCCTTTTGGATTAGATATTTTTGGCTCCAATATATATTTTCTCCCTCAGTCCTGTAAAAAAAAAAAAGTGCAAATTTATATGTTCATAACAAATTTGAGGCTATTTAAAATAGACCTAATTGCCTTTTGGATTAGATATTTTATTCCTTATATCAATTATTTATTCATCAGATAAAACTAGTTAATTAGTAGAGCATTTAAGAAAAACACATAATTTTAAAATTGTACTAAAAAAGTTTCATTTCGGCTGATTCCATAACTTTTCCCAAATCAACGTTGTTTACCATTGCTAAACAAAGCAAAAATCTTGGAGCTTACAAACTGGCACGCACAGCTTATGAGAAGTTACGACTGATGCGTCTCCCACAGAGATTTCAAGATAACATAGACCTTGGCTGTTTAACTGTTAGATCTAAACCTTTTCATGATGCAGAGGTGAGGAAATTTAACATCATCAAAAAAACCCAATCGCTGAACTTTAAAGAATTTTTTTTTTATTAATTAATCTTCATAAGCTTATATGTATCAGTATCATAGTTTACTATTCTAAAATATTAATCATCTTTGAAAGCTAAAGAAATTTTGCATCATATCTCTGATGCCATTAAATGAATCATACCTGTCAATTTTTGTCCAACCTTACTTTTACTTATTTGCAGCTTCATAATTATCCCTCTTTCCTCACTTAGGGTCAAGAAAAATTGATAAGTCTGAAGTAATTTATTTCTAATCTTATCTCAAACAATTGACATTAAAATTTAATGGGAATCAGAAAAGTTAGCTTCATATTTATTATGAAACTTTTTTTATTAAGTCTGTTCAAATGTACAGTGTATTTTTGCTGTGAAATCAACGAAATGGAGGCACAAAAATATATATTATTTTAAAGATTCTTCAAAGTTATATCAACATATTACTTTTTATCTTCCGTCACTGCTAGGAGCTGTTACCTATGTGTTATCGCTGTTCTACAACAAACCCTCTAATCAACAAAACTGGAAATAGATGTGTTAACTGCAAGCAACCTTTTGTTTATTCATTTGTAAATTTCGGTATGTGGATGTAGTCAGTGAAGTTAATGCTGTTTTAGTAAAGATTTCTTTTTTACCTTTAGTTTTTTGCTATGAAGTGAGAATAAAATTTTTTTTTTTTATTAAATCCAAAAATGTTTGATTGTTCTTATTAAAAAAATTAATATCTTCCTTTAACATTTTTTTTCAGAGGTGCTGCCCCTAGTAGAGTTTGTTTTGGATGAAAGCTTGAGTGACCAGGAGGCTGTTCACATTCTGGACATGTCTATTCCCAAACAGAAAAAAAAGGGAGGCCCCTGGTCTGAAACTAAAATGAACAGTTTCCTTTTCAAAATTTGTGCAACTGAGTGTTGAAAAAAAAAAAAGACTTAAAATATCCAAATGCGTCATCTTAAAAATTGAATTTTGCAAGAATTGGGGGGGGGAAAAAATTGAGGCTGAAATATAATCAGAAAAGTTACCTGAGTGTTTTTGGATTAGATTAATTTCTACTTAACAGTGTCACGTAAATTTGTTTTTAAAAAAAGTGTAAAAACTGTCTTTTAACAAAGTGCTGTCTCAAGGAAAAAAAATTAATGGATCCAAATTTACAAAATAGAGAACAAAATTATTACTATTTTGATTTTAAAATTCATGATACTTGTGGCTATTAATTTTGTTACAGCTTATGAGTTGAGTTTTACTGTTTTTAAATTAACCTTAACATCCTGAAGATTTCCAGTCATTACGTTTGGGGGAAGAAGCACCAGAAGAAGATGAAGACCCTTTTACAGCCAGACTCAAATCATACAATGTATGTAAAATGTTAGAATATTTTGCATTCACATGAAACAACTTGGCTCCATATTCATGATAATTTGGCATGCTTCTTTTACTACCTACATGTGTAAAGTTAAAGGACAGGTGGTAAAAAAATGTCCAGTTCTTTTCTATTAATAAAATGAATTGATAGAGAAAAGTCTAAAGGGAATGTATCCAATTAATTGTGAAGAATAAAATCCATTTAAATTTAACATCATTAGGGCAGAGATAATTTATTTACTTTCTAATTTATTTTTAATGCATTTTTTCTGGGTGAGTTTAGGATAGTGATCAATTTCAACCTGTGGTTGTCAACAAATCAACCCTGCAAACCATGTCCCGATCAGATGTATATATTTTAAAATGGCCAAAACCCTTGAGGTATCAGTTCTTCCGATCCCTTTTACCTGATGTTCCCATCACACTATGTTCCAACTGCAACAAGGTGAGTATTTTATGTTTTATTTCATTACTATTTTTTCTCTTTCAAATGAAACAAAATCTTAGATCTGTAAAATGTGTATCCTGCATGTGATAGTGGCTCATGAAAGGAACATTATTGGAAGTGCCCAGCTTTTATTAATTAATAATAAAATTGATTATTAATTCAATTAAAAAAATTATTGTATCTTTATTATATTAATTAGGTGATCATAATTTTAGAATAAAGTTTTTAAAAAATTAAATAAGGCAAAATCGTCAGAGAACTGTTGTTATTAAAGTAAGAAAATGAGTAAAACAAGTTTGACCATACTTTGTTTTACTCATTTCCTTTTTTGCTAAAGTTGCAACTTCTCCCTTTACCTTTTTACTATTAAATTACTATTTTTTTCCCACTGCTTTTTACCGTTTTTTTTAGCTGTTCCATACAGATGATTATGAGCAACAATACCTTCAGCGTGGTCATTGCCCATTCTGTAGGACCAAGTACGATGACTAGACCAAATGTTGTTGTTTTTTTCTACCTGGCTACAATGAATTGTCAATTTTTCCACTGAGACCTGATGTTTCAGGATTTCTTAAATGAAGATGTGATGAAGTTCACTTTTAAGCAGTAATGGTAAAGAATTTAAACGGCACGGTTAACAGTAATTTAAGTTAGGAAAAATTCACTTTAACTTAGTGTTCAACACATAGTTCAGTTTGTTATTTTTAATGCAGAAAAGAAATGTTTTGAATTTTTGATACTTGAATAGAGTAAAATTTTGTTTATTTGAAACCTCATTTTTTATTGTTACGGTATTAAAAAAATAATAATTCAATAATATTAAGGATTGTTATCTTTCGCTTTGCTTTGTTTAAAGTAAACAATTATTTGAAAAATTGTAAGATAACCTCATACATAGTCCCTACCCCTTTTAATCTTGCATTCAGACACCATTTCGGAAACATATGACTAAAAAGAATAACTGCACATAAGGACTATACCATTGTTTTATGTCCATGTATAGTCATGAAAATATTGCCTTATGTAATAAATATGTTATTATTTTTAAAGTGACTCTAATTAGTTAAGGGTTTTTAATTAAATTTATTAACAAAAGGGAAGTATGATGTTAGATAAGTTAAATTTATTTTAACAAATATTTTATTTATTGCTTGATAGTTTGGTTTAGATCTGTCACTTGAAATTAAACCAATGAATAGAAATAGAAGTAAGATAAATATGGAAATTGTTTAAGATAGGCGATAATTTTAGTTCTTGATATGCTACTTTGAGATGTACCAGTACTTTTCTTTGCCACAGCACGTTTGTGATTTTACTCATAATTCTGAATTCGTGTGCAACAGTTTATATGCAATGAGAATGACAGATGTTGATTTAGGTGATATTGTATAAGTGTGTATTCGTATGTATGCATAAATTCTATACCTATCCTGATAATCTGACAGTGACAGTCAATATAAGTCTACATACCAAGTTTATGACTTATTTTGGTAAAAATGTCATCTAGACTAGCCACAACTATAATTTCACTTGTATGTCTTCATACATGAAATATTTATATCGGTTACGGGATATTTGTTTGAAAGAAATTTCGTAGACGGAAATTTGATAGAACGGAAATTTAGTTGAATCTTTTTTTAGTTCACACGTTAAAAATTTCCTCAAATTTCTTTTTAAACGCACTAGTTTTTTTTTTTTTTAAATCCATTCAAGAAGAAATTTGAAGCAAAAAAAAAATTTGACCAAATTACTGTTAGATCAATTTTCCGTTGACGGAATTTTTATCAAACAAATTTCCGGATATGATTATACCTACCTAAACTTTATGTATGTAGGTCACTAAGTTTAATCTTGTAATCATTTGTAGGAGCTTCTGCAAACAATTATTAGTAAAGTGAGTTACTGGTTTGCATCAGGTCCACTAGATGTCAGAATGGATTGAAAATATTTTGACTTTTTTTACGTACATGATACATAAAATTAGTTGGCCCTTAATGGAATAACTTTATGAATATCTTAACTCCGTCCAATATTTCTAATCTGTCTTACATTAAAATCATGTTTTCTTTCATTGACTAGACATGTGAAAATGAATTTTAATTAATTAAAAGCTGTGATCTATTCATGACTTGTTTTCTTAATCAAAAGAGCATGTCATAGAATGACAAAATACTTGACATTGTATATATGATCTTTATTACAACTTTAGTGATAACTTGCTTAAAATGCAGGAAAAAAAGCCATAAGGTGGTCAGAATTTATGATTTTTGTTTTGTTAAAGCGTCCATCAAGTCTGTTCATATTACAATTACATCACTTTGTACATGTCCCAATATTCGCAAAGAATTTACACACACATAAAATTGTAAAGGGATGAATAATAAATTAGAAACATGACTCCTAGCCTTTAAAAAAATCTCACATGTTTGGTATATAATAAATACAAAAACTAGTGGACTTATTTGAAAAACAGAAATACAGGTGTTAATGTATGATGGTCTATTACCCGCCGATTAGATTTATTTAACATTAACTAAATTATATTTAATTATAATCTGTTGAATAGCATCTTGAGTGAACAAATTGTGTATCTATGTATTGCAGCAAGTTTCAATTTTAAGACAATAATCTGCTGCTTTACACTACAACCAGTACTCAATAGAGCTTAAGGGATACATGCACACACAGATATTTACATTGATCTTATCAGTAATGGGGAAATAATTGGGGGGGAGGGGGGGAATAGACCATCATTAAGCACCGAATGGACTTGTCCAAAGAGAAAAAAAATAAAATCCCAAAATGTACAAAAAACAGCAAGTGGTAGGATGTGTACAAATGTACCAATCGCCTTCCTGACTAGCTTCCATGCACTCCAGAAGCAGCATTAAGTGATAAATGTACAGAAACCTAGGCATTATTATATACAAGACCAAGACAATAGGTAATTTATTCATTATTATTCAAGTCCATCACCACTTTTGCTGACAGCATTAAAAATATTGTAGTAGTAACAAGGGTTTTAAAAAATGGATATGGCTATTAATGATTTCTTTAAAAAAATTAAATTATGAGAATTACAGTACTTGTTTAAATGGAGGCTTTTTAATGAAGGACACTCTTGCTTTGCTTAAAGCAATGACACATCTATTAATTACACCATTAAAACTTGATACAAGCATCTGAAGAGAAAATTTATTTTTTGTTAATCAAAATAATGGTATATTAAACTTAGGTACCAACTTTTTCTTCTAGGGAACACCTTTTTTTCTGTTAAACTCTATACATCAGCTTTACAAAATTATGAAATGCATTTTTTAAATTTATATATTTTTTTAAAAAAAAGAGTGAATGACATGAGTTATGTTAAAAAGCAAGAAGTGAATACACATTAACAGCCCAGTTAATAAATAAGTAATAAAAAGTTAGTATGTGCTTCAACTATCAACAAGACTAATGAAAATTTTACAAGCTCTTTGTTTCAGATTTAAGGCAAATGGAAATCATTTTTGTCTTACCAATGCAAATTTTCACACTTTGAGTTAATAAAAATATTAACTAACTTTCCATCAAATCCTGACTATTGTAATAATTTTTTTTACCATAAAAATACATTGCCCAGAGCACAGGTTTATATAGACTATCTCTTGATTTAATAAATAAAAAAGATCTAAGATTAAATAATACTGCAAAAATGATTTCAGTTAAGAAGCATAACATAATAATAAAAGGAAAATATTTGTTTCAACCACACTGGTTCGACTGTCAGCACCCAAACTAAATGAATCATTTTGGCAGAAAGAAGGTGATGCTAGCAGGGTCATTAATAATTGCAGTAATGCCCTGACTTCATGATTGCACAAGTTGGTCCCTAACTCAATTCTAAATAAATATTTATAAAAGGGATTTGAGAGCAAGAATATGCTGCAAAATAAAAGTCTTCAAATTAAACTATCTGCATTTAAACTTCAATTCAGTTATATAATCATCATTAAATATATTACTAGTGGGGGCCAATAGAGATTTCTTTTATGCAGTTTTGTATTTAAACAATAATTATAAACTGGTTGTAACATTAAAACTGGCTTAACTGTGAAACATTAATAGAATTCATTTAACTGACATTGTAGGCTAATGTTATGTTAAACATTTAAACAAACCACTTTAAAAAAAAATGTGCAATATGGATCTAGAAAAATGAGTTAGTATACAAATAAAATAGATGTTTAAAAAAAAGAATGTGTTTTTAAAGGAAGTCTTTAGATATTAAGAATTGTCATAACAAGATATACAGAAAGAAAATTATTTAAATAAATGCAATTTACTAATCCATAAATCGATCAGGTCTCTAATAACCCTTTCTACCCCATTAAGCTGCATCAAATTTGTATGGGGAAATCTACCTGATATTAATTTTTGGGCCAACAGCACGTTGTTGATTTAAGTTACAATAACAACAAGATAATAAATTGCGAAAGCTCTATCCTAGATCAACATGCAAGTGAAAATTCAAATATTCTGAATAAAAGTTCCTAATCCCCCTAAGGGTAGCAAACAAAATCAACAAAACGTATCTACAAGTGTGTAAAATATTAACGTCTGTATTTCTATGAAACAAAATTTTAAAAACTATTAAAATTTGGAATTTAATTTGATCTGAACTTATAAGATGTTTCAATTGTCCAAAAGGTTACTGAGTCTGAAGTCACTCTTTGTTTCTCTGGCATCTTCATAAATTTTTTCACTATATGAAATCAGAAATATGTTTATCTTGAAATAATTGAACTTCACAAAGATTTTTAAAACTTCATTTGCTTCATGCTTAATAAGGAATAAAATATATTGCTGCAACAGTCTCTTTCAGGAAACAAAATGACAAAATCCAGAGCAAAATGTGTCAAAGTTGATGAGTAAATGAAGTTGGCTATCCGGAGTGACATCATGGCCAAGTTGGTTGATGGTGGCTCAGGAATATGACACTCATGAAACAATAGAATAAACCAGGTTAATTTTGGCTAGTCTTTCGCTGTTTGCTTGCAGCAATGGTCACCCATTACAAGGAATGAAACATAACTTTTTACTTATCAATTACTGTCTTCTATCTCTGTCCAGTTATGTCTGAAATATAAGAAAAAAGAACATTAGCATCTCAACAATAAAATATTTATATATCTGTATTTACAAAATGCTACAAAAGGTCATATTATTTAAAACTAATGGGGTAAAATACAAATAATTTTATTGCCATAGCAACAATGTGGGTCTGCAGTTTTTTTTTTTTTTTTTTAAAAAGGTATTTCAGCAATTTTTATGCCACTGAGGACCAGTTTGATCTCAATATGCCATTTTCATAAATTCTATGTTTAAGCTGCAGCTGAAATTAATAGATCTGCAGACTGACAATTTTCTCACAGAGAAATTCAAATGCATAAAATTAACAAATTTATATATTATATCACTATGTGATTCAGAACTAATATTAACAGACTATCAATTCCCACTAATTATTAGTAATCAGAAGTTACCTGTTAGTTTAACATCACACTATAATTATTTTAAAGCTACTGTTTAGAACTCTAGATTCCTAGTAAATTATTACACGACATTACATTGATTTCAATGCAGCCCTCTGCACAAACAGGCTGTCACCCCTACTGCAGATAGCTTGTTCTAAAGCCCTGTCATTGACTGCCATTCCAAAGAATATAACCTGCTCATAAGCCAACCCCATAAAATAACATGCCAGTTTAAGTAACGCGGTACCAAAGAAAATCTAGCATGATACACAGGCCAGCCTTTATTATCTACTTTTAATTTTTTGGGTTGATAGTGGTGACACCTTCTGAAATCTTCATTAATAATTTTCACCATTCAATGTACCTGGAGAAAATCATAAAAATCTCCTTTGACCAGCTCATTAATAATTCATAAGCCAACCCACCCAACTTATTGCAATGAGAATTGTTTTCTTGTTAAGGCAAACACCTGAACTATTGCACTAAAATATTTATTTAAAGTCAGTTTTAGAATGAGTACCCTGTATCTATGGTTAATACATTTTAATTTAAATGTTTACAATGTAATTAATTTTGAAATTTCAATGGTGATTTGCAAGTGAAAATGACAAAGTAACTAAATTTAACTAATATCCATACCTAACATTTTATCAGTGGGTTCTTACAACATTATTACAATGCTGTTATAAGATTACTCGTTCTGAGATACTGATCTCCCCAGGTGGTGGATAGGGAAAAGCCCACCACATATGGAGGGTACCGAGGAAATGAAGTACCAGCGACGAACCAAATTCGGAACCTACTGCCTTTTAGGAAGTGGAGGGATCCACAAAGGCTAGGGAACCTTATCCAAAAATTAAGGCAGCTACCTAGAGAACTGTAAGGGGCAGCCCCCCAGATGGTTGTGTGCATAGCTAACAACCCGGCAATGTAAGGGATGGATGGATGTTATAAGATGAACATCAATTTAGATAGGATTCATAGGTCCCAAATACTTTATTATGAAATTATAAAAAAAAATAAATACCTTTCAGATCTCAAAGTAGAGTGCAGCCACTCTTTTTCTTTTTTTGTCTACCGGGCCCTGGATTTTTCTTGTTTATTTGACGCACTAGGTCATAAAATATCTGTGGATGAGAAAATTAAATTTAAAATTTCATTAAAATACATACAAAAATTGTTTTTTCCTCTCTATCAAAATAATTTCTTTCATCAAAAATACATTTTTTAAATACGACTACACAACATGAATGTCCAAAGTAAATAAAAACTTGTATACCCACTCTATTCACGCAATTGTTAATGTACTACAGTGGAAATGGATATAATATAAATTTTAAATCAATACATATCAAAGTTAATTGATGTAGTGGGGCCATGGAGCTAAATATGTTTAAATACACCTTCATAAAAAAGAAAATGTTAAGATTTTCTGCAATAAAACACTGTATGTGTAAAAATACTTAAAGAACTTTCTGTTTTCTTTGCCAGTTCTATAATGTAATCTTTCTGTGGTATGTTAGGTTATCTGAAAAATTTGTAATCCGAAACATCACTGGGCCCAATTTATTTGGAAAAATCAAAGCTCTAATAATCTACTTTACCTCAAGTACATTGATCTTCATTTTTGCAGATGTCTCAAGGAAAGCGCATTGAAACTGCCTTGCCAGGTTTTGGCCCTGATCTTTCCCCACTACTCGCTCATCTTCTAAATCACATTTGTTGCCTACCAATAACATAGGAACCTGCAAATAATTAAAATGGAAATTATTATTTTTTTTTTAAATCCTCAAAATGATTTCAATTAAATAAAAAATTGACCCTTTCAGACTACAAACAAACTTAATGTAATATCATTAAAATAATTAACGATAATTTATTTCAACTATTACATCATCTGTGTCCTTGACTCTAAGAATCTGCTCTCTGAGATCTTGAAGATCATTGAATGTTGACTGTGCTGTGATTGAGTAGACTAATAAGAAGCCTTGTCCATTCTTCATGTAAAGATCTCTCATTGCAGTAAATTGTTCCTTTTAAAAAATTAAATAAGAATATTCATAAAAAGTATGAAAGTTACAATCAAAACATATTTTCATTTATGATTATACTTGAGTTGTGGGTGGCCATTATTATTTAAATTATAACAGATACTTGAACATAAGAACTTACAGTTCCTGCAGTATCAAGAATTTCTAGCATGCATTGTTGACCGTCAACTTCCACTTGCTGAAAAAAAGGGACATTTCCATTTTAATAACTTTTCAAATTAAAAGACTTTTTTTACTACAATGTACAGCATTTACTATCTATACTTAATATATAAAAAGTTTGAATGTTCAATCCATGATAGTTAATAATTTATTGCATTTTGTTAATTTACATAAGAAAAGTATCAATATCTCAAAGAACTCTACTGTGGTTGTGGTCATCGATGGAATCAAATGTTCTAGCTTGTTTGGAAAAAAATTAATGAATTTCTTACTCTACAATTTCATTGAATAAGAACAGACATTATAAACCAGTTAAAGTATTCAAACCTTTCTGTAGCTGTCTTCTATAGTGGGATCATACTTTTCCACGAAAATTCCTTGGACGAACTGGACAGTCTAAAATTAGAATGGAGCCCCAAGTATTATTGTAACAGATTTAAATATTTTAAATTATAAATTAAAATCGTACAAGTTTTAAAGAATTAAACAATTAGAACTTTGATAAATACATATGCTTTAAAATTAAAACTCACCAGGGCACTTTTTCCAACACCACCACTGCCAAGAACAACTAGCTTGTATTCCCGCATATTCTTTTGTCTTTGTTAATTCTTGGTAAAATAAAACCTGTTAAAAATATAAAGGCACTGAACTGGTTATAGATTTTGACAAGGGGTGTAACTATTTGACATTTTATTTTTGTGGTCGGTGAGTCCGGGTGAGAAACATCTGAGAAAAAAATATATATCTCAGTGTGGTAGGCTAATTTATCCTTTATTTTAAGGAGAAATTTGTAACACACTCATTTAAGTCATTTGTCATAAATATTTCGAATTATAATTATTAGGCTATTACTAGGCCTAATAAAATGATGACTAAAAGATGAACACTACCTCTTATTCTTTACTTTTCGTCCACTCTTTGGTGTATAAAGGGCGGGGTGATGGGGACTATTGTCCTCTCTGGCACTTTGTTGTTAAACAGTTTATATCTAACATTCTATAAATAATGGGTTTGTATGCAAGAGTCTGAGGGCGCACTTTAGGCATTTCATCTAAGCAGCATTTATCCAAGGTACACCACTAGGTCCACTAATAGAACTAATAATATGTAGGCCTATTGTGGGTATAAATTATAACTTGGACCTATCAATCCCTCATACTCCATTTTAATTATTAATTCCATGCAAAATGAAAATAATGAGTAGGCCTAGGCAACAAAAAAAGGTCTACAACATGTTATTATAGTTTACATAGTCCATCATACTTATATATTCATTATACACTCAGTAGAGTTTACCAGTTTAACAAGTTTACCTACCTCGAATATAAATCCCTTTCACAGATATCTCAAACTCAAGTTAAAGTGATTCAAATTATAATAAGGTAAATCCAAAGCTGCACAGGGCATTCATTTTAATTAAAATTAAATCATTAAAAAAGTAGCCAAATCTTTAAGTTTGCTCACACTGGCCAAACCATTCAAAAGACCAAATTTGTACAATTCAATATTCTTCAAGAACTGTTAATTCAATTCTAATTACGGTAACTGAAACTGAGAAAAATTATCACAAAACGACGTTATAAACGCGAACTGCGCTTTAAACATTATATTAATGCCACTCCTTACCGTCACGTAGGAGTAGGTCAATAGATGAGTAGGAGTTATTAGACCGAGAAGTCTCTCTGAACACTGAAGTGACACTGTCACTGACTCTAAATATCCAAGCTGAATGTGGACTAGTCCGAAAGTCGCGAGTAAATTCTAGTTCCTTACTAAGTACTTTCACTTTCAAATAGCGTATTAGATATCCCTTAAAATAATTAAGCTATCAATTGGAAATATTAATAAACCAATATGTAGGAAATGTATACAATTTTGAGTTAATTCGAAAGTTTTATCTCTAGACAGATTACTCACCGGACTGGCCCTTGACTGTTTTAGAGATGTCTTCCGGTATATGTGACGTCAAAATTTTTGGATGTTTCTATATTTGGAGTGTTTTCCCAAGATTCCATACAACAACTTGTGCGCATGCGTTATTATTTATTTATCTCTTCCTCTTTCGTTTGTTCTCTTTCTGTCTTACACTTGAAAACTATTATCTTTTTCTCAATCTTCACTCATCTAACTGTCGTAGGTTATTTTTAGTTTTTTTATTAACTACACACGCTTTGATCTTATTTGATCGACTCTTTTTGAGTTCGAAATGATATGAAAATCTCGGCTAGCTTTATGCTATGATGCTGGGCTGGCAAATAGTGGACATGATGAGTATTTTGCGAGTTGAAGGATTGGGGCTTGTTTTGGCTTGTCCAGTTCGGCTCTTTGATTCTTGTGAAACTTAGCATTTCTGATCCACCATCAAAACGCTTATTTCAAACCATCTAATTTATCATATTCGTTTAACCTTAATTTCGAATTTTTCAGCCGGTGTTTTTTTTGTTTTGTTTACGGATACCGGCATCTTTAACTATATCTCCTAGTTAGTAGTAATATTTTAATTTTGATAAAATTCCCCTCATATTTAGGGTTCCCGCTACAAAAATTATAAAGGGCATTTCATTTCACATGTAATTTAAAAGTTCGGAAAAATACGATTTTATTTTGAAAGGACATTATTTAATTAAAGTTAAAAGAAGTTCTAACATAATATCGCTGACTTTGACACTAATTTGATTTTGAAAATACTCCTCTGAGCTAGCAAATTTTGACATAAGTGCTTCATTTCTTAAGAGGTAATAACAGAGCAAGTCATGCTCTTGAAATTGTACAGTGTATTAAATCGCTTTCACTGCTGACTCCCAATCATCTATTCCGCTGCTTGGTCCATTGATGATAATTTATCAGTGAAAAAACCCTCTCCGTGTTTGCAATATGAGATGGCATCATGGCCCCCCCCCAGCCCCCTGTAAAATGATATATTTATAAATAATAAATATATAATTTATTTATATTAAAATTATATAATTATTTAAATAAATTTATTTTCATAGCACCTATCCACTATTTTTCACTTTTGCATTAATTAAATGTTTAAATCCTCTAAATTTTTCGCGTGAAAAATTTTGCCATGTAATCAGTTAAGCATCAATTGTTTTCGATAAAGAAAAGGTATTGCAACGTTGTCATATCTTAATGGCGGATCTTCTCAAGATTTTACTACTTTAGGTTTATCTATATCTTGTACTTGTATACTATAGACAGGTAATTGTTTCTATCATCTAAAAACTTATTAAAAGACGTTTAACATAAGTATTCAGAAAAATTTAAAATACCATTGATATTGATAGTATAGCCCGACACCAGAGAGATTGAAACGGATATTGCTGGTTAATAGTTAATGTCGAAATTTGAGCTCAGGGCTGTCATGCTGGGGTCCCGGGCAAGCGAAACTGTGGCGCCTCTTTTAGGTATTACCAGTATCATAAACATGTTTGCAAGGAAAAAACTAGGGATTATGTCATGAGTTAATACCTATGGTTTTTTTTAACAATGAAAAATACTTTTTCCCTCCAGTGGCGTAGCGAGGGGGGGGGGTGCGGACCGCACCGGGTGACACCATTTTAGGGGTGACACCCGATTGAAAAATTGCATATTTACAGAGAACACACTGCTCGGTCTAACGGATATTCATAATATTTTCCCCGATTGGTCACTAGTATCTCCCCTAAACATTTGAGCACGATTGTCATATATCGACTGCTGAGTTTTACCTGCTACCTTTCTGTGTTGTATCTTGGACAGTGCTCTGACCGTTCTTTCTGAACTGTCGTCATTAATTATTTTGTTTGTTGTCTTGAAAAGGACAAAATTAAAGCATTTTTATTGTTTAAGATTATTATATCATGAAATACGGCGTGCACAATTCTAAATGGCCATGTCGCTGTCAGCAGTGAAAAGCAAGCAAAGGTAATACGCGACTCACTAAAATCACTATACAAGAAAACATGCTTGGATATGTCAACAAATCAAATTAAATGATGACCAGGTTCAGGGTTCATCAAAAGATATTCCTCAGCCTTCCATTGATACTGAGTCTACCGATACCAGCTTCATGCATTCTTTAGAACACCTAGTGGAGAAAATAAAAGGGATTGACGTGAAAACACAAGTAAAAGACATGGATGGTTTGGAAACAGAGATGTTTGCTGATTTATTGATTCAAATCAAGATACAGTAAGTGTAATGACTAATGACACAATCTGGCACATTTTATCAGATGTTTCTCTCTAGAATGTAGCAGTTCCAAATTATTTTCGGTCTAAAATTATTTAAATATGAAGTACCCCGTTTAAGAACAAGGACGGACTGGTCAGCGTAGTGACAAGGACGGACTGGTCAGCGTAGTGACAAGGACGGGCTGGTCAGCGTAGTGACAAGGACGGACTGGTCAGCGTAGTGACAAGGACGGACCATTCAGCGTAGTGACAAGGACGGACTGGTCAGCGTAGTGACAAGGACGGACTGGTCAGCGTAGTGACAAGGACGGACTGGTCAGCGTAGTGACAAGGACGGACCATTCAGCGTAGTGACAAGGACGGACCATTCAGCGTAGTGACAAGGACGGACTGGTCAGCGTAGTGACAAGGACGGACTGGTCAGCGTAGTGACAAGGACGGACTGGTCAGCGTAGTGACAAGGGCGGACCATTCAGCGTAGTAACAAGGCAACATGTGAAATGTAAAGGAGGTGTGCGCCAACTAACAAAACAGTGGATCTACGGGATGATCCAAAATTGCGAGACAATACAGCGGTCGTTGATGGTTTATTCACTCGTCATTCAGAAATTGTACTGTTTTTGCTGCAGATTATTTGCTGTTAATGTTACAGAAACAACATCCACATGTGTTACTGGCTTTGATAAGTGGTGGAAACTGAGCCGTAAATTAAAAAATCACGAAGCATCGGAAGATCAGCTATTTTGCCTTGAAAAGTGGAAATCATCGGCAGCAGGACTTAGGATACACAAAACAATTGATGCCTGAAGTATTGCTGTGATGGACAAGGATAAGAAAAAGTGGAGGGATGTCCTGCACAGGTTACTGGATATCACATTGTTTCTTGCAAAGAAAAAAACTGGCATTTCGTGGCCACAACGAAGATGAATCTTCACTGAAACTTTCTTGAAATGATTGAGATGCTTTTTAAACATGACCCAGTGCATAAAGAGCACCAGATGAGACTAAAGAGGAGTGCATCTACATGACCCAGTGTTAAAGAGCACCATGTGAGACTAAAGAGGAGTGCATCTACATTAAAGAAGCACCTTCATCTTACCTTTCAACAGAAACCCAAAATGAATTTATAAATGTCCTCGCAAATCATGGGAATGAGATTGTTATCATGGATATAAAGGCTGCGAGGTATTTTGGAATTTCGTTCGAAAGTACAATTAATGAATCACACAGTGACTAGGTGTATGAAGTGATAAGATATGATCGAATCCACAAAGTTGAAGTGAGAGAAGTGTTGCATTTCTCCCGTTAATATTATATCGAAAAAAAGCTGTTGACCTCAGTTCTGACTTTCCTACAAACTAATACGTGATGGACTAGACTTAATGATGTTGAGAGTTCAGGGTTACGATAATGTTGCCAGAATGCCTGGAATCCATAGAGGTGTTCAGGCCATGCTGAAAATAAATAATAAGAAAGCAATTTTTAATTTATGTGAGGGCCATTCGCTTAACTTGTGTGGTCAACACTCTTTTGCAGAAAATTCTTCGTGTATTAAATTATTCGGAACTCTTGAAAGAATATTTCCCTTCTTTGTTGCATCCACACATCGATGGAATGTTCTTATTGAACACATTGGAATGTCATTGAAAAGATGGACAAAAACGCGTTGTATGCTCATCATGCTGCTGTTAAAACAGTGAAAGATGAGTTTGATGAATGTGTGGCGGCGGTTGAAGCTCTGTGTAATCCTCTTAAACATTTGAATACAAGAGGTGCCGCACAAGGTCTTTTACATGCTGTCTGGTGCCACACAAGGTCTTTTACATGCTGTCTGGTGCCACACAAGGTCTTTTACATGCTGTCTGGTGCCGCACAAGGTCTTTTACATGCTGTCTGGTGCCGCACAAGGTCTTTTACATGCTGTCTGGTACAGCACAAGGTCTTTTACATGCTGTGTGGTACAGCACAAGGTCTTTTACATGCTGTCTGGTACAGCACAGGGTCTTTTACGTGCTGTCTGTGATTTAACGTTTATCTGCTACCTTCATCTTTTGGCTGATCTACTTGATGAAGTTAATCTTACACAGCAGTAACTGCAGACTTGAGGCTTTACTCTTGACAAAGTGTTGACAAATCTAGAGGCCTTAAGATTGTTTCTGCACGAGAAGCACCGTCACATGGTGGAACATGCTATTGAAAAGGCACTTTTAAAATCAGACCAATATGGAATTTTGGTAGAGAGAAGATTAAAGTTTAAGAAGAGAATGGCAGGAGAACAATTAATAGATGCTAAACTCATTCTGCTAGAAGAAAACCGTAGGGATATGCTGGAGTATATTGATCGCTTTTATTCTGAACTCTAGATCAGATCAACAGTGATCAAGGAAGTACGAGATATGTTTGGGGCTGTTCAACCCAAAAGTCTAGTATCTGCAAGTGAAGAAGTATCGGTGTCCGTTCCAAAATTAACTTTTTTTCTATGATGAGTATCAGAAGATAAACTTTTAAAAGAAATATCAAGGCTTAGAAGACATCTAAAAGCAGCTGATTTCTCAAAGTTATGGACTGGTCAGTACTTGATATTTTGAAATTCATAGCTGAATGGGACTTTCTAGAATATCTTCCAATACTCTCGCTAAGCCTTTAATATTTTCTTAAGATATGTGTGTATGTGGCTTCATGGGAGCGGAGCTTTTCAAAACTACGGCTTATCAAGAAATATGTATGATCCACCATGGGACAGTC